TGTAATCAGTTTAGTTATGTAGACTTTTATTTAACAAGTAGTGAAAACAGTGAGATATAAATTTAAAGTAAAATATTAAAGTTTTAGCTACTCTTTAATAAAATTAAGAACAAATTAAAGGGACACCATTAAGACAAATAATAATAACAAGCTTTTAAAAAATACTTGTGTTACCAATAATAGCTTAAATTATCAAAATAGAAAGAATGTTTTAAAATTCTAATTTAGATTTTATGATTTATAGAGGGTGTTTTTAACGTGCATTTTACTAAGCTCGAACAGTGAAACTACGCTGGTCAGTTCCACTTTTTGGTTCTCATGAATTAGTACAATAGTGAGGCACTTATGTTTCCCCCAGTGCAGGGAAATAAGTATATTAAATATTTTTTCTATTATTTTAAAATTATGCCATTATTTCTGTTAATTATTGGTCATGGGGGAGGGGGTTAAGTAGTAAAAGAATTTGGAGTCTAAACTACCTAGCAATCTCCATTTAAATCTTCCAAAACAGTACTATAGGTGGAACTGGATAGTATTGCCTGTAGTTAATGTTGCCTAACGCTTTTAATTATAAACCCTGGTCTACACTACATAGTTAGGTCTATATAAGGCAGCATATGTTGACCTAATTATGTCAATGTCTACACGATAGCCTTCCTCCAGCCAGTGTAAGTGCCCTACTACACAGACATAAAAACTCCAGCTCCATGAGAGGCATGAGGCTCATGTTGGTATAGTTAGGGTGACACAGAGTGTGTGTAGACACTGCCTCCCTTACATCTGCTGTCTTGTCAATTTCATGGCAGGAACCATAAATTGACAAGAAAGCCAGGGAACTAAAGCCCAGCTGTTCTCCCCCCTCCCCTGGAGAGCTGGGCGGTTGCACCCTGTTCCCAGCTGGGATCCAGGCAGCGAGAAGCTGGGGTGGCTTCAGACCCCACTCCCAGCTGAGACTCAGGGTGAGAAGCCCAAGTGCTCCCCCTACCCTTCCAGAATGGGGAGACAAGCGGGGGCAGCCCGCCGGGAGCCTGTGGGGAAGCCAAGCTATTGGGAGGAAGTTGCCAGTGGAGCTGAGAGACTGGAGTCTCAGCTTCCCACACTGCCCCTGTTAGGTCGTGGAAGCGCTGCTGGTGAGAGTAGTGTGGACATGCACCATAAGTCAAACTAATATAGGTTTTGAAATGTAGACATACCCCTTGTTTTCATTTGTTTATATCTTTGCTAAACCTTAATCATTCGGGCTGAAATTTTCCAAGACGTGTCCGTCTGAGACTGGCTTATTATTGAAAGTTTCAGCAAATATCATTTTGACATTTCCTTGAACAGGGGTCAGCAACCTATGGCACGCGTGCCAAACACAGCACACGAGCCAATTTTTAATGGCATGCTGCTGTCTGTTGGACTCGGGCAGACAAAGCAGCGTTCCACTAAAAATCCTCCTGGCCCAGCCCGCTCTTTTCCGACCCCGCTCTCTCCTTGCAGGACAGGCAAGCTTCCCCCTCCTCCCACCTCTTCCCCCAGCATGCTGGGTTCCTGCCCCTCCTCCTCTCCCTCCCTGCGGCCGATCAGCTGACGGCCCTTGCTATGGAGGGGGAGAGTTAAAAGCAGAGCCACAGCCGCTCTCTGTTCCAGGGACCTTGGGGAAGGGGGTGGAATCAGGTGAGCTGCTCAGGGCAGGGGGCTGGGAGCACACCCACGACCCCAGCCCTCTGCCCTGACCCTTACATTCCTATACCGAAGCCCCCTGCCCTGACCCCTGCACCCCCATCACACACCCCCAGCCCTCTGCCCTGATCTCTGCACCCCCCAGCTCTCTGTCCTGACCCGTGAACCCTCCTCACACACACCCAGCCCTCTGCCCTTACCCCAGCACCCCCTCACAGACCCCCAGCCCTCTGCCCTGACCCCTGCACCTCCCTCACACACACTCAGCCTTCTGCCCTCACCCCTGAACCCTCCTCACACACACCCAGCTCTCTGCCCTCATCCCTGCACCCCCACACAACCCAGCCCTGTGCCCTGACCCCTGAACCCCCCCCCACAACCCCTGCCCTGACTCCTGCACCCCCCACACATACCCAGCCCCCCCACCCCATACCCTGACTCTTGCACTCCCCACATACCCCCCTGAGCACCAAACGGGAGCTCCTGGACACACACACACACCCATTCCCATCTGCACCCCTCGCACCAAATGGGAGCTGCCCAGGTCAGCGCTCCACACCCAAACCTTCTGCCCCAACCCTGAGCCCCCTCCCTCATTCTAGTTCCTGGCCAGACCCTGCACCCCAACCCCCAGCCTGCTCCTTCACCCCCAGCCATGTTCTCAGCACACTCCCACCTCATCTCAGTGCAGAGAGAAGAAGAGAATGGCTAGAATCAGGGAGAAGGTAGGTACCTACTCTATGTGGACAGAGCCGGGACTCCAGACCGGCAGCGGGCTGAGTGGGGCCAGCAGCCGGGACCCTGGCTTGCAGGAGCTGGCGGACAGAACCCCAGACCGACAAAAGCTGAGCGGCAGCAGGCTGAGCCGCTCAGCCCACTGCCAGTCTGGGGTCCCGGCCGCTGGCCCCGCTCAGCCCACTGCCGGTCTGGGGTCCCGGCCGCCAGCCCCGCTCAGCCCACTGCCAGTCTGGGGTCCCGGCCGCCAGCCCCGCTCAGCCCACTGCCGGTCTGGGGTCCCGGCCGATGGCCCCTTGCCAGCCGGGGTCCCAGCTGCAGGCCCTGCTCAGCCTGCTGCCAGCCGAGGTGAACGGAACCCCAGGCCGGCAACGGGCTGAGTGGGTCGGCGGCATAAGATCAGCATTTTAATTTAATTTTAAATGAAGCTTCTTAAACATTTTGAAAACCTTGTTTACAGACAATAGTTTATTTATATAATACATAGACTTATAGAGAGACCTTCTAAAAAATGTTAAAATGTATTATTGGCATGTGAAACCTTAAATTAAAATGAATAAATGAAGACTCGGCACACCACTTCTGAAAGGTTGCCGACCCCTGTCCTAGAACAAGATTAGGGAAAAATACTGTGTTTTGCCCTTTTAAAAAATTCTTACAACTGTTTCACTGAGAAGCTCTAGGAGCGCCATGCTTTGGAGCAGGGGCTCAAAATTTAGTAGGAGGGCTGCCTTTGTGACAGGGGCATGATTTGTGCTATTCCCATTAAAATATGCCAAAATTCGGCCAAGTGCTAAGACTTTGAAAAAATCTCAGTTCAAACATGTTCAGTAGAGACCTATTAGAATTTGGCAGCTAAATTTTCCAAAGATTCCATCTGCACTGAGTTTGCTCCAGCTCTACGTTCAGCAGGGGCTGAACAGGATTTTTCCCTTTATCTCCTGTTCCCATTTACTGAGGCCTGCTGTGGAACCAGTCACAGGAACTGAGGCCTGGTCCATATTTAATTTAGGACGACACAGCTGTCAGTCAAGAGTGTGAAAAACCACATCCTCAGCCTAGCTATGCTGACCTATCCCCTGGTGTGCATAGCTATGTTGATGGAAGAATGCTTCTATCAACTTAGCTACCATTGTCTGATGTTCCTGCACCAATGGAAAAGTCCCTTCCATTGGTGTAGGCTACAGCTACACTATGGGGTTATACAGCATAGCTATATCACCATAGCTATGCCAGTACAGTCTCCATAGTGTAAACATACCCTGAGAAATAGATACCAGGTTTGTAACCGTTTTGATGCAGCCCAAGGGGCATGGCGCAGAACCCCCAGAGGGGTGTAATGGATGGAGTCCCCTATACTTTGGAGAATGACCAAGGTAGGAGAAAAATACCTGGCATACCTCCATCATACCTGGCACCGAGGGTCACACCACCACTCAAATTTGGGGAGATTGGGCAGGTAACTTGGGCCCCCTCTTCTGGTTGCACCACAGCTCAAACATCAGTCTCGGTCACATGTCCAGTCTACTGGTGGAGCCCAGGCCTCATGGGCCCATATAACCTAGCACCTATGACCCTAATATTGAGGAGACTGCCTCTCTTGTGCTCTCAATGCTTCCCCTGCTGGAACTCAAGCAGCATGAAGAAGGAGGAACAGCCCAGCCTGGAGGGTGGGAGGACCACAAGGAGTAGATTAGATCAAGGATCCATAGGGGAGCCAGGAATTGGGAGCCAGGGTAAGGGGAATACTTGGACTAGTTGGGTAAGAAGGCTGGGAGCTAGGGGAGGAAACTAGGACTGGGGAAGGTCTGGGACTGAGAGGAACTGGAGGTGAAGGAGCTTGTGTGGCAGAGAAATTGGGACTGGCTGGGCAAGGAGACACCAAACTCTCATTTACTTCAGCACGTACTTGTCTGAGGACAGACTATGGTCTACTAGGGTAATTTTAGTTTTAGCTAAACTTCAGCTACTGCATGAAAGCTGAAGTGTGTGGTTACACAAAACAGCCACAGACCTTGAGTATGTTGTGAGGCATAAGGCTGTCGGCCAAATGCTTTCCACCTGCTAAGAAATGCAGACATTTAATGTGGTTGTCCTATTTAAAGTAAGCTTTTGATTTTAGAACAAGTATTTGCATTACATTTTTCTAACAAATGACTATACCGGATACCTTCACAGTTGGAATCTTTGAACTAACCAGCCTCCTGCTTTCATAGTTATTGGAGGAATTTGTGACAGGTTGGGACACAGAAACCCCCTCGGGACTGCCAGCTGATGTGCTGAGACTACCTCTGAGCCTGTTTTCCCTGACAGCTTGGCTCTTCAGTATCCTGCTTGTTGAGCCAGACACACTAGCCTTTTGCAACACAGACCCAGGTCTGAACCACATCCCCCAAACTTAACTGAAAACAGCTTAAGAAGTGCTCCTGTCTCCAGCACCCAGATACCCAATTCCCAACGGGGTCCAAACCCCAAATAAATCCGTTTTACTATGTATAAAGCTTATACAGAGTAAACTCATAAATTGTCCACCCTCTATAACACTGATGGAGAGATATGCACAGCTGTTTGCTCCCCCAGGTATTAGTCACTAACTCTGGTTTCAATAATAAGCAAAAGTGATTTTATTAAATATAAAAAGTAGGATTTAAGTGGTCCCAAGTAATAACAGACAGAACAAAGTAAGTTACCAAGCAAAATAAAACAAAAACACGCAAGTCTAAGCCTAATACATTATGAAACTGATTATAAATGAAATCTCACCCCCAGAGACGTTCCAATAAGCTTCTTTCACAGACTGGACTCCTACCTAGTCTGGGTCCAGCAATCACTCACATCCCTATAGTTACTGTCCTTTGTTCCAGTTTCTTTCAGGCATTTCTTTGGGGTGAAGAGGCCATCTTTTAAGCCAGCTGAAGACCAAATGGTGAGGCTTCCAGGGTCTTTTATATTTTCCTCTCTTGTGGGCGGAAACCCCTTTGTCCTTTTGTGCAAAGTCACAGCAACAAGATGGAGTTTGTAGCCACCTGGGCAAGTCACATGTCTACGAATGATTCAGCTTTTTGCAGGCCGACGCCACTGTTTACACGTTGGTTTGAACGTTCCTACGAAAGCTCAGGTGTGGACTGGCGTCTCCCAAAGTCCATTGTCAGTTAAATGTTTCTTGATTGGGCACTTACTGAGAAAAGTCCTTTCTCAAAAAGCTGACCAAATACTTCACTGAGGCTACTTAGAATCAAACACATTGAGATACAAGTACATAGCCAATATTCATAACTGCAAACACAAGAAATATACACACATACAGACAGCATAATCATAACCAGCAAACTACAAACTTTCCATAGACACCTTACTTGGTCTCCTATGTACAAGACCTGGTGCAACCATAGGACCCTGGTTGCAACTATGATTTATATGGTCACAGTTCATGTCAATAACGTCACAGAATTATTCCTGAACATTCTAATTGTTATTAGTTCACTGACAACAATTCTTTTTGTCCTGGTCTGTTCATTCAACCTATCTGGCGTCAGAATGGAGTTTTGGATTTGGATTTTTATAAATGATAATATAATTTGGCAATAAAAGTTGTGATTGTGTGTACAAAAGGTAAACTCATTAGTTTTTTAAAAGATATTGAATATTTGTTTTGAGTGGTTCTGTGGGATATGCAAGTACTGCTACAAACTAAAGAGATGCCAGCTATAAAATGATGAGCGCTGCTGGCATGGAGAGGAAAAGAAACACCTGGTGTAAAACACAGAATGCAGCCAGAATACCCATACAGGAAGTTGCTATGGAAGAGCCTCTTATGGAAATGAGATGAAAAGATAATGGAACAAATCTGTACTCAGGCAAAACTACCATTAACTTCAGCCTTTAGATCCTAGTGAACAAAAAAACCCCTATGAGAACTATGCTGTTAGGTGGAAATTCCGTAATAGACCTTTGAAAGTAGGAGAGCAGTTGGCTGTGAATCATTGGAATCCTAGTACAATCATCTCCTTCAGTATGAGCTGCTATGCCAAAAGTTTTTGTGTACAAACAGTCTAGAAAAAAAGAGAGAGACAAAGAGAGAGGAAGAAACCGTTTTAAGGTGTTGGAGTGTGGAGAGAGAAATTAGGTGTGTAAAAAAGGGGAGGCACTGCATAACGGTGGGTAGAGCTATTTCAGAAATACACCTCTACCCCAATATAACGTGACCCGATATAACACAAATTTGGATATAACGCGGTAAAGCAGCGCTCCAGGGGGGGCGGGGCTGCGCGCTCCGGTGGATCAAAGCAAGTTCGATATAACACAGTTTCACCAATAACTCGGTAAGATTTTTTTGCTCCCAAGGACAGCATTATATCGGGGTAGAAGTGTATGTCAAAGCAGGACAGTATCTCACCAATGACAAAGGAAGAGTCACTATTTTAAAAGTAATGGGACCTGCCCAATATTTAATGTGTGTAGTCATTTTCATACTTAGGTCAGGAGGATCTCCTAATTCCAAATGACTGAGTGGGTTTTCTGGAGGCAGGGCTTTTTGACAGAAAGTGCTACTTCTTTCCTTTAGACTCTCCCCTTCTTGTTTCCTGACTTCTCTTCTTGCCTGTGATCACCTCATCTGTATATACCTCCTCTTCCTCTCACAGTGTGCAAAAGGACTGATTAGCATAAAATTGTCCTCTGCCCAGATTATCTCAGACCAATCAGAGACCAATTTCCTATTTCCTCCATATTCTTCAGCAGGTCAAAAGAAACCCCTTCCCCCACCCATCTCCCCCTCAAAAAAAGCTTAACCTTTTTTTTTCACACAAAAATAAATAATATTAAAGTTTAAGAGCTGGAGCAATCCAGGGGGGAAAAAAACTCTATGGGAGGGTAATATTTACCTCTTCTTCAAATGAGCTTTGGGTCATGTTCCCAAGCTCTGTGGATTCCCTAGGGTCAAGGGCAATCTATACAAAGGCCTCAGTGAGTGTTTTGTGACCCTCAGAGCCTACCCCTCCTATACAAAAGTCAATGTAGCTCATAGTAAATGGATTAAAAACTGACTAATTGATGGATCTCAAACATTGCAAATGCAGACTCATCATCCATTGGGGATATTTCTTGTGAGACCCTACAGGGTTCTGTTCTTGGCTCAATATAATTCAATATTGTTAACAATAATCCGGAAGAAAATACAAAATAATTGCTAGTAAAGTTTGCAGAGGGCATAACAATTGGTGGAATGATACGCAAGTATAAGTTAGTTCTACAGAGCAATCTGGATCACTTGGAAAGCTGGGTTTGTTTGAACAGTATGTGTTTTAATATAACCAAATGCAATGTCACACATCTAGGTAAAAAAAAAAATATAGGTCACACTTACAGGCTTGACTAGAAAACAGTTACTCTAGAAAGGACTTGGAATAACCAACTAAACACAAGATGCCAGTGTGATACTGTAGCTAAGAGACCCAGTGTAAGCCAATGTATATGTCGGGGACTATTGAGTAGAAGTGGGGAGATATTACCTCTTTCTACAGCATTAGTGAGGCCATTACTGTGTTCAGTTCTGGGTTCCACACTTTCAAAAGGATTTTGGTAAATTGGAAAGGGTTTAGAAAAGAATGATATGAGGGAGAAGACTTCTGATAGTAGAGGGCTCTTTAATTTAGCAGGCAAAGGCCTAACAAAATCTAATGGCTAGAATCTGAAGCTAGATAGGTTCAGACTAGAAATAGGCACACCTTTTTAACAGTGAGGATAAGAAACCATTGGATCATCTTACTTGTTGATGTCATGATCTCTGTCACTTGAAGTCTCCAAATCATAGAATTGGAAAATAAGAAGTGCTGATGCCATAGGGGCAGAGTGGTCCAGTGATTTGCACTGGACTGACTCTCAAGAGACCTGGGCTCTATTTCTGTCTCTGTCACTGACCTGTTGAGTGTTATTGGGAAAGTTACTTGGCTTCTCTCCTTCCTCTCATGCTCTTTGTCTTGTCTATTTAGACTGTAAACCCTTCAGGGCAGGAACTGTCTCTTACTTTTGTACAGTACCTAGCACAATGGGATCTGGATCTCTATTAGGACCACTAGTCACTATTGTAATATAAATAATTATTATTAATAATACTTTATAGAACTTTACATCTTCAAAGTAGTTTGCAAATATTAACTAATTATTCCTCAGTACAACCTAGTGAGGCAGGCAAGTATAATTATCTCATTTTACAGATGAAACCGAGACACAAAGAGTGTGTCTCCGCAGCAAAGGAAAAACCATGGCAGGGCTGTTCCATTGCTGTGTAAACTTCCTGGCTCAGGCTATAGCCTGGGCTCTAGGACCCTGTGACATGGAGGGTCCCAGAGCGCCCAGAAGTCTACACAGCCATGAAGCAGCCTTGTAGCCCGAGCCCTGTGAGCCAAGTCGGCTGGCAAGGGCCAGTTGAGGGTTTGTCTTTGCTGTGTAGACTTACCCAAAGAGATTAGATCAGAGGTTTTCAAACTGTGGTCCACAGAGTATTGATGATCCATGGGGTACTTGCTGGCGGTCCACAGTGCTGGCTCCTCCTTTTTATTGCCAGATGTTAAACTGCATTTAAGAATAGCTTTAAAGAATTGAACACTTTCCTAAAATTACTCTTCATGTAAGCAATTACTGTAATTGCCACATGAGTGTTATATAGTGACACACAGGAAGAAATGGTCTGCTCAGTCATCAGTGGGAAAATGGGTGGTCCATGAAACACTCTCTGTATTAAAATGTAGTCCATGAATGAAAAATTTTCAGAACCCCTGGGTTAGGTTCGAATCAGTGGCTAGGTCAGTCATTAGCTGGAGTAATCTATTTCTAATGGATAACTAAACTAGATGTGCCTACTAAGCAATGCCATATTCAAAAGATGCCATAAATATTTTAAAGAGAGTATCTAAGATGCTAACCTACACTCAGATCTGTTCTTGTTCTCACCATTATCATCTGTTCACAGGATCTCTGAATTTCTACCTTAATTTGGTTATTGGCTAAAAGGGGGCTTTATGGCATCTAATCCATAAAAATTAAATATTATTAAATGAACAGATTACAAATATATACTGGAACACGTACTGCTTTGCCAATATTTCCAGTTGACCTGGTACGTTCTACAGCTTGAGAATATATTCCTTAAACTGTTTATGCACACTTAATATATATTACAAAGAACTGACACAAAATGCAAGGCATCATTACCAATTCCTCCAATTAAAAATACCAATGAAGAGAGGGGGCAGGACGACTATTTTAATTGAATTCAATAGTACTTTATTGGACCCGTTACAATTCTTGTGAAATTTTGTTAGAAGCTGGGAATGGGTACCAGGGGTTGGATCACTTGACGATTACCTGTTCTGCTCATTCCCTCTGAAGCACCTGGCATTGGCCACTGTCAGAAGACAGCTAAATGGACCTTTGGTCTGACCTAGTATGGCCATTCTTATGTTCTTATGCGTATAATGCTATAAGTAAATTTTGATCATGCTATTTACCTTATAACATGGTATCAAATTGTTTATTTTAAATAACCCTTTATTAAGATTTCTAACAACAAATATTTACAACAGCAAAATTCCTATAAAAACATATTAGCCTGACTAAAAATTAGTAGTCCAATGAAAGGCATCAGTTCTAACACACACACATACCCTAGTCTATTCAGTTCTCAGCCTCTTCTCCCCAACCCAACCCATTTCTAGCTACCCTGCTCACAATTCACCATTGGTATGCAGTCCAGTGGGTTTTCTTGCCTTCCTCACAGCCTCCTGGAAGCACAGGTGGGTTAGAAATACTAGGAATTGAGGTTCATATAATGCTGTTACAGTTACTGACTCATCAGTGCAGGTAAAGGCTAAAAAGGCCAGCTCCCAGAGGTAAATGAGACTCCTGCACAGGTGGACCTTGTGCTTATGTGGGAGGAGAAGCTTGAAGTTTTTGTAGAGTGAAGTTTCCCCCACTCAGCCTTCTGGCCTCTGCCAGGGGAAAAGTTGCACAACTGAACAGAGTCTGTAGTTTCATACATGGCCAAAGCCCTGTAACCTGCACTGGAACTAATTAAATGCCTGGTACATGACAGCTGGGAATGGACAATGTAGTGCCAGTCCCCAAAGTATATTTAATAAAGTTGCAGCCTGCTGCTTAAATCTATCCCATGTCAATCATTCACCTACTTGTACTAGTGAAAAGTAGAGCTGTGCAGAACCTGGACAGTTAATTTACAAATCCCCCACAAAACTCTGTCTTCCACATTTTGTGGACAGGACATGCTCAAAATTACTTCAACCTTCTCAGGGTCTATTTTTAAACCATCTACCATTAGAAGGTGTCCAATATACAGCAAAGCTGATAGGTGCAGTGTCTTTTTTCTTACTCAGTTTTAGACTCACTTGGTATGCTGTGTTGAGCAGCATAATCAGGCTATGATTGAGATCAGCATTAGCCTCTTTGAGGGAGTCTACACAACCAAACTAAGGCTACATCTTCATTACCCGCCGGATCAGCGGATAGTGATCGATTGATCCCCGAATCGACGCCTGTACTCCACCTCAGCAGGAGGAGTAAGCGGAGTTGATGGGGCAGCCGCCACAGTTGACTCGCTGCCGTGAGGACAGCCAGGTAAGTTGAACAAGATACTTTGACTTCAGCTACGCGAATCTTAGTTTGAAACCGTGCCTCCCCCGCTCCCCCCGTGCAAAAGGGTATATCTACACAGCTGACATTAAAGCGCTGCCGTGGCTGTGTAGTAGAGAGCTCTCCCAGTGCTGCAATAAAACCACCTCCGTAAGGGGAATAGCTCCCAGCGCTGTAGCACTATCTACACTGCCACTTTACAGTGCTGAAATTTGCGTTGCTCGGGGAGGGGGTGTTTTTTCACACCCCCGAGCGAAGAAAGTTGCAGTGCTGAAAGTGGCAGTGTAGACAAGGCCTTAGACTAAGGGCTAGTCTACACTACTGCGCTACTTCAGCTCAGCTGCACCGATGCAGCTGGACCACTGTAGCGCGTATGGTGAAGATGCTGTAGGCCAACAGGAGAGCACTCTTCCGTCAGCATAATTACTCCACCTCAACTAGAGGTGGAAGCTATGTCAATAGGAGAGCGTCTCCCGCCAGCATACATAGAATCATAGAATATCAGGGTTGGAAGGGACCTCAGGAGGTCATCTAGTCCAACCCCCTGCTCAAAGCAGGACCAATCCCCAGTTAAATCATCCCAGCCAGGGCTTTGTCAAGCCTGACCTTAAAAACTTCTAAGGAAGGAGATTCTACCACCTCCCTAGGTAACGCATTCCAGTGTTTCACCACCCTCCTAGTGAAAAAGTTTTTCCTAATATCCAACCTTGCTTAGGGGGTGGCTTTTTCACACCCGTGAGCAACATAACTTACATTGACTTAAGCGGTAGTGTAAACAAGCACTGAAATGTTATCTGCAATTGCCTCAACCTCCTCAAACCTCTCAACCAAATTCCTATTTGGCATTTCTTTCACAGCTACCTATATCTGCTAGGAGTCCAGAAGGTAGCCAATTAAGAGCTTTCTGCATCAAGTTTTAGCTGCAAGGAGCCATCTATAACACCTAAACCAGAAAAGACCTTTGCCTTTTATTAAGTTATTGCAGGATCTGTTCAATTGTTGGTGAAGGGTAACAGCATTATAGAGCTTTATTGAGATGTAAGGAATCAATACATATCTGGAGTTTGCCTGCTTGGTTTTTTTAAGCTATGTTGCTGATTCAGTCTGTCAGTTCCTTCAGAATCCCATCTTAGTCCTCATCCTCAAAAGAAACCTGCACAACACCTTGAAATGACAAACCCAGGAACTTACATTCATAACTTTGCTAGATACTAAAAATCGTGCATGGAATACAGACACTGGATTTATGGCTTATTGCAACAAGCTATATTCCACTTAAACCCCTCCCCCCCAGCTTTTTTTCCTTCCCCCTCCTCCCATGAATGGAGAGGTGTTAATGGGACACTTCACCAGGAATGGTCCCTTGAAATGTGTAGTAACTACTTATGCTAAACAATCTGTTCCACCTTGCATTTAGCTTGGCACTCTGAGGGCTAGTCTACACTGGCAATGCTAAAGCGCTGTAAAAACCCACCTCCATGAGGGGCATAGCTCCCAGCACTGGTGCATTGTCTACACTTGTGCTTTACAGTGCTGAAACTTGCTGCGCTCAGGGGGTGGTTTTTCACACCCCTGTGTGAAATTGCCAGTGTAGATAAGCTGCAAGTCTGAGTACATTTCTCAGATCTGAAGAAAGAGCTATATATAATCTTGAAAGCTTGTCTCTCACCAACAGCTGATGATGATCCAGTAAAAGATATTAACTCATCACCTTGTCTCTTCAAAATAAAGTTCACTTTTGGAAAATCTTTAAGGCAATCTTTATAAATCATAACGGATCAGTCTAAGGTAAGGGCACAAATACATTTTCTTTTTCACCTTTGCTGTTCACCTTTAAAGCAGGATTATTGGGCCTAGAAATGGTGATGAGTCAGAAACCAGCAGCATCCAATTTATCAGCTGCTGCTTCAGGAACTTGGGAAAATGTGTCCCAGGATTTGGGGTACTCCCCGTGTCATATTGCCTAAAGAGGGGAGACTCACCAAATATATAATCAGTGACTTTAAATTAGAGGTGGAAAATGGAAGACACAAAGCACAGTCCAAATTCTGACTAGTGACTGAAATTAACATTACAAGGGAGAGCCTGAGATAAACATTTTCTACTGAAATTATAAGGAAGTGGAGAAAGACGGTTCCTCAAATTATCTGATATACTAAGATGCAATGTAGAAAAACTGCCCAACTTTAGGAGAAAGGAAAGAAACTTCAGAGAGAAGTGTCTTGCCAAACACAGTTTTACAGCTTTGGGAGAGAGTTGAGAGAGTACAGAGAGAGCACCCGCACCGGATCAGGAATAAACAATGATGACAAATAGCTGGAGGATAAAAACTCCAAAGACAATGTGAAGCCTAGGCAGATTGTACTAAAAGCAATAATGCCAACTGCAGGTATTCAAAAAATCATGTGTCAGGGCTTAAAAATCATGAGATTAATACATTTTGTGTTCTTTGCATTTATTTTCTAGGTTTTGAGCCTTTGGTGTGCAGCCAGGTCACATTTTCAAACTTCTCTCATAGGGTTGCAAACTTTCTAATTGCAGAAAACCAAACACCCTTTCCCTGCCCCCTGCTCACTCCATCCCCCCTCCTTCCATTGCTCACTCTCCCCCACCCTTGCTCACTTTCACCACAAGGCCCAAGCAGGCATAGGTACCGACTCCATGGGTGCTCCAGGGCTGGAGCACCCATGGGGAAAAAATGGTGTGTGCTGAGCATCCACTAGCAGCTCCCCATTAGCTCCCTGCCACCTCCTAGTGCCTCCCACCTGCTGGCAGGCCCAACGGAACAGCACCTCCCACCGCAATCAGCTGTTTCGCAGGGTGCAGGAGGCTGGGGGGAGGAGCAAGGACGCAATGTGCTCAGAGGAGAGGGCAGAACTGGGTGGGAAGAGGCAGGGCAGAGGTGAGGCCTTGGGGGAAGGGGCAGAGTGTGGGGCAGAGCTGAGGGTTGAGCACTCCCTGACACTTTGGAAAGTTGGCACCTGGGCAGGGGAGATGGAATGTGTGATTCAAATACCCTTCACCTCACCAGGGAGAGATTTTAAACACTATTGTAAAATGTCTACACAGTAATGTTACAGCCCCAGTCTGCTAAGCCAGGGCAGCAGGGCATTTAATTGCAGTGTAGACATACCCTAGAGAGCTCAGAGGGGCTGAAGTGGAGGCTCCTAGGTAGGGACTGTGGGGGAAGAGAGCTGTAAATTCGGAGCATCTCCATCTGACCCCCTCCTCCCCAAGCAGCCTACTGCCTACTGCTGCTTGTGGAGAGCAGAGCCACTGAGTTGAGATGGCTGCTAGCTAGGAAGAGCAGGAGGGTGCTTGGGGATGGGGGGTATTGGAGGGGGTTGGGGATGGGGCAGGGGGTATGGGCTCTGGGGTGGGGCCAGAAATGAGCAGTTCAGGGTGTGGGAGGGGGAGCCTGCCTTAGCTCTGCTGTGGCCAACTGGACTTTTAGTGGCCTTGTCAGCTGTGGCCAACCAGAGCTGCCAAGGCCCCTTTTCGACTGGCTGTTCCAGTCAAAAACCGGACACCTGGCAACCCTACTCCACAGCCCGGAAGGCTAGACACTTACTTTTTCTTTTAGCTGAAAGCTGAGAGTCTCATACAATCACTTGAAACCGGGTGGAGGGGCCTATAAATAAATAAACAAACAAACAAATAAAACCCCACCACCAAAGACCGCCAGGCTTGTAATTAAAAGCAACACACACACTGCGGCAGCTTTGAGGGGGAGCAAGAGTCTCTTACACTTGGGCAGCGCCCATGTAACTTGCCCTGGCGACACAATGTTATGGGGCGGGGACGGCGGCGGGGGGGTCCCCTACACTGGGGATTGGGGGTGCCCTTAGGGGTAGGTGAGTCAGTCGGGCCGGGGCCCTATTCCCAGTTTCCGGGCCCCCGAGGAACCCCCGCCAAGCTGCTCCCCCGCCCAGGGGCCGGGCCTGACGGCCGCGGGAAGGAATGCGCTTCCGGAGGCGAAGGAGGAGCGGCCGCTGGGCCCGGACCCAATTCCCACCCCCTGCGGCCCGCGCACGGGGCTCCCAGCGAGCGAGCGGCGCCGGGCACAGAGACACCCAGGGAACAGCGCCAGGGGCTCCCGCTGCGCCGCGCCCAGAGTCGCTCCGGGGCCCCCGCGGGGACAGACCTGAGCCAGCCGGGCCCCGAGCGCGCCTCTGCCGCCGCCGCCGCCTTCTCCCGCCATGGCCAAGGTACGGGGCTGGGGGGCCGCGCTCGCTGCCGCTGCGGGTTTCCGCCCGTTCGGTCCGCGGCCCAACCCGGGCCCGTTGCGCGGGCAGCCCGCGCGGCAAGGACTGCGTGACCCGCTACCCGGGACGGGGCTGGCCACCCCCGTGCCCAGCGGGATGGGGCAGGGCACCGGCCGCTGCTTCCCCGAGGGCTGAAGTGTGGGGCGCTGCCCGGCGGTGCTGGGTCTGACCCCCCCCGGGGGGGCCGCGGGCGGCGTGCAGGACAGGGAGCCAGCCGCGGCCGCCTCAGGGCAGTGCCAGCGCTGGCTCCCCGGTCCCCTGCGGGGCGGGGCTGCCCCCCACGGGCCCCGGTCAGTGTCAGCGTGGCCAGGGCTCCCGGCCCTAAAGCCAGACCGTGAAATGCCCGGGCCCTTTGTCCGCCTGCCGCCCAGCCCTTCAACGCCTTGGAGCTCGGCCCAAGGGCCTGGCCGTGCAGAGCAGCCGCGAAATACCCCGTGGCACTTTCCATAAGGGTCGCGGCTTTATCCCCGTGCCGCCCTAAAGGATGGGAGCGCCCCTCATCTCCTCGGCTCCCTGCTTTGTGGAGGGTGCTGTACGCACCCCAAAGGTGCTGCTTTTCTGTGGCATTTGTGAAATGGGGTGGGAGTCTAGAGGCTGACCGGAGGCGCTTTGTGAATGTGCAGTATGAATCCTTGTTCAGCCCGGCACTACTAGCGAACTTCTTAACTCACTTGGGTACTAGCAACCGTGTTCGTAAGGTGCATTAGAGAAACCAGTAAAAAGGCAAGGCCCTTACCCCCGCCCCGAAAAGGTTTTAGACAGGAAGGCGACAGACAACAGGGAGGGAGGGAGGAAGGAAGGACAGAGCTACAGTAATAATATCATATGTGACTCAGTTTAAGAGTTTGCAGATCTATGAGGTTCCCTATTGCTTTTTAAAAAATTGTAACATGATTTCCTTGCATGTATTGAATAGATCAGTGAAAGCAAGCTTGTTTAACATTTAAATCTGATTTAATACATTGTGACTGTATTGTGATAGATATTGTGACTTTGCATGGTGATGTGACCTTCTGACTGCTTGACAGTTACGGATTTGTTGTTGTTTCTCTCATAAGTGATTGTTTTTCAGGGTTTTATAACTGCCATATAAACTTGTTGCAGTCTGAAAGAGAACAGGGAATGAATGCTAGGTCTCAGCATGTAATCTGTTGAATACATGTTTTTTGGAAAAATACTCTAGCTGCAGCAGTATGAAAGCAATGTAGTCTTGAAAGTATTAATTCTTTCCTCAGTATAGCCTGGTCCTTGAGATAAATAAGGGGGAGGGGAAACTTTTCCTCAGTCACTGTAGAGCTACTATATACTATGTCAAATTTTTGACTAATTCGGTGGGAAATGTCTAACAAAAAATCCACGCAGTGGTCATTAAACATTTTTTTAAAATAAAATCTGAATGGTTCGTTTCATCTACCGTATCTGCCCTTAGTATGCCAGTAAGGCCCTGCTCATGCCAGTGCTTAAGTGCATGAGTAATTCATTATGTGAGCTGGACTAGTTGCAGTGGGGGAGGTTTAGGTTGGATATTAGGAAAAACTTTTTCACTAGGAGGGTGGTGAAGCACTGGAACGGGTTACCTAGGGAGGTGGTGGAATCTCCTTCCTTAGAGGTTTTTAAGGCCCAGCTTGACAAAGCCCTGGCTGGGATGATTTAGTTGGGATTGGTCCCACTTTGAGCAGTGGGTTGGAGTAGATGACCTCCTGAGGTCCCTTCCAACCCTGATATTCTGACTGCTCATGTGTTTAAAATTAAGCAACATCTTACATATTGGTGTGATTAGGGCTTTACTGGAATACAAATAGGTCCAGGCCATCTCTGGTGTTGATGCATTAGAAATTCAAGAGGAAATGCTATCACATGGGAGAGGAAATTATTCTGTGTTTAAAAAAAAAAAACAGAGAAAACTTGAGAGGGATTGAGGTTTTGGATTTTGTAATTTTCCTTAAGTACTTTGACTAATGCCACTACCAAGTAAATTCAGAAATATCTAAATTTAAATAAGCCTTTGAAACTCGTGAAGACATGGTAGCAAAGACACAGTCTATACATCCGCCCTACTCATGACAAAACTGATGATTCACTCTCCTGTCACACACAAAAATTACTTACCTCAGGCAAATGGTTAAGTAGCATTGTGCAAGGCTGCCTAAAGCCATAAGTAAAGCCTGTGAAAACAGTGAGCAACTAGCAATAGATAGCCAAGACCAGGTGAGTTAAGGATGACACATTGTTAACTTTAGGCTATGTCTACACTTGCAGAGTTTGTGCGCTGTCAGTTTCACTGGTGATAGTGAACTGGTGAAAGAAAAGCACTGGTTTGTGTACTCACTTCCACGGGTGTCAGAGTGTGTTTCCTTTGCAGCACTTCCATTGCGGCCCATGAGAGCAGTGCACTGAGGGTAGCTATCCCACAGTGCAGCTCTCAACATTTTGATGATAGGTCTTGTGGGTGCGGGGGCGGGGTCCCTGCACAGCCTCCTCTCCCCAAACGCTGATCAGCTCCAGTAGCTCAGCATTGCTCTAAGCAGGGGATCCTTTGCTCTGTGGAGCAGGCATTGTCACCTGGCCAGATAAGTGAGCATTTGCCGAGAAAACAGGAAGGGGAGTTTCAAAGTTCCTGGGGCTTTACGGGGGAAGGGCTGGATGTTTACCTGGCATCAGAGCAGCAGAGCTGCTGGCCAGAGTGATCACCTAGGTACTGTGGGATATCCTGTGGAGGCTAAAATCTCTGTAAACAGGAAGAACGTGTCTTCACTCGCACATCACTGCAACAGCATCACCGGTAAGAGCTGTATGCAAAAAGTCATTGATGCTCCCATGGTTTTTGCACAAAAAAGGGACTTTTTCCCCTTTAAATGGCAAGTGTAAACGTGCCCATAGTCCTTTGAAATGTTTGCAATTCAATATATTGAGAAGTGCAAGATTGACAGCCATGGAGACTGGAATCCTGTCTTAATAAAATCTAGAGCTAGAAAACATCTTTAAGGTTTGTCAACACTTCAGTACTGGAGCTCTAGTCTAGTGGATTGAGCATTTGAGTGGTAGTTAGAATTATAGAATCGTAGGACTGGAAGGGATCTTGAGTAGTCAACTAATCCAGTCCCTTGCACTCACTGCAGGACTAAGTATTATCTAGAGCTAGACCACCCCGACAGGTGTTTGTGTAACCTGCTCTTAAAAATCTGAGATTCCACAACGTCCCTAAGCAATTCATTTCAGTGCTTACCCATTCTGATGGGAAGTTTTTCCTAATGTCCAACCTAAACCGCCCTTGCCACAATTAAAGCCCACTGCTTCTTATCCTATCCTCAGAGGTTAAGGAGAACAGTTATTCTCCCTCCTCCTTGTAACAACCTTTTATGTACTTGAAAACTGTTATCATGTCCCCCTCAGTCTTCTCTTCTCCAGACTAAACAAACCCAGTTTTTTCAATCTTCCCCCATGGGTCATATTTTCTAGGCCTCTAATCATGTTCTTTGCTCTTCTCTGGCCTTTCTCCAATTTGTCCACATCTTTTCTGAAATGTATCACCCAGAACTGTACGCAATACTCCAGATGAGTAACTCTTCCTGACTGTAATGATTCTGGGCAAGTTGCTCTGCTTCTGCATCATTAACCTAATGTAAAAATGTTAATTTGTATTCACCTTTGTAAAAGGCTTTGAGATCCAGTTGAAAAGGGCTGCAAGTTATTTTCTGAAATATGTATGCATCTTCAGGTATCCCAGTGAATGATTGTTCCCTGAGGTTTTTGTTCAGTCTAGTTTTAAATGCCCCACTTTATTGAGCTTCAATCACTTCACTTGGGAAATGATCCCGCAGCTGAATACACCTCAATGTCTGGAAGCTTTTCCCGGTGTTCAGAATAAGTCTTCTTATTCACAGTTTCATCACTTTTCTCTTAGTTTTACTCCTCTTTACTACACTAAATAATTCCTGTATTACCTTTAGTAAGAACACTCTTCAGTTATTTGTAAACAGTTGTTATGTCTCCCTTCCTTCTATGTCCTGGCTGAGTAAAAGCTATGTGGTACATACTTAGTTCTTAAATCTTTCCTAATAATTCAGTCTTCCTAGCAGCATGATCAGACTTGTTGCTCTTCTCAACTCTGTAGCTGTCAATATCTTTTTGATAACATGATATCTAGAACTGACATTTTCAGGTGCAGTTGCACCAGAAACCCCATTAAGTGAGCTATTAAATGTTTGCTCTGTGAGAGTTTGGTTTGTATAAGAAGTCCAAAACATTGCAAAACTGGTACATAAACAGGAACAGTTCCTCACGTTAGATAGATGGGTCTCCATCCTATTTATCATTACTCATGTGATAGGTTAGCCAGCTTTCAATTTACACAGACATTCTTATCCACATGGCAGCAGGAGAAAATCACGCTTGAACCAGTCTGGCAGAAAGTGGAAAGTCTACAGGAGTGTAGTCTGGTCTTGACACTGATAGTTTCTTGCACTAGACCCTTCAAATGAAAGGAACTGAGGGACCATTAGAGAGATGGGTTATTTATATCCTTTTCCTATAGAATATTGCACAACTACTTAGCTAGCTGTGACGGGTTCGGTCACAGAGACCCCCTTGGGACTGTCACCTGATGTGCTGAAATTACCTGTGAGCCCATTTTCCCTGCCATCTTGGGACTTCCAGAACCCTGTCTTGTTGAGCCAGACACACTAATCTACTGCAACACAGACCCAGGGTCTGGTCCATGTCCCCAAAGCTGTAGACTTAGGTGACCTGCTGAGCTATTTTCAGTTGTCTCCAGCACCCAGACACCCAGTTCTTAATGAGATTCAAACCCCAAATAAATACATTATACTCTGTATAGAGCTTATGCAGGGTAAACTCATAAATTTTCCGCCCTCTATAACACTGATAGAGAGTGATACACAGCTGTTTGCTCCCCCAGGTATTAATCACTTACTCTGGGTTTATTAATCAACGAAAGTGGTTTTT